GGCCTTGGTACTTAGTAGGAAGTCCATGAACAAAACCCTTACAAGAATTTAGAGATTACATGGTTCAATTTGGTGAAACCCGTCGACTGACTCGTACAGGTCCCGCGACTCGCCGAGTCGGGCATGGACTCGACGAGTCCAGTCGAGATGCAGAAACAGTTCGGCTTGTTAACATTCTGTGTTTTCTGGGTATGGTTTATATGTTTTGCAGGAATCATGTTTAGAAGAGGACAATCTTCAAGGGGTAGACAAGAGGAATTTCCATGGTTAAACTTCCCGCAAATCGAGTCCGCTTCAACAATGCGGAAGTGGAAAAAGAAGCTTGCCGATATTAAAAAGAAGGAGGTTTATGTCCCGAACAGAATAGATTGGGAATGGTTGCAAACGGTGCGATATGAAGAGGAATTAGCTCCATACCTTTTAAGGGAGTTTCAACATGGCGGCGAGTCAATGATATGTGATGGATGGAGCCGGGTCTTCCGCATGCAAGAGCCGGTGTATTTGGAGCTTTGCTTGGAGTTCTTTTCCACGGTATCTTTTACCGGTGGAGTGGATTTGTATCATCCGGCAAGTTTTACATTTTGTCTTGGGGCGAGTATCATCAATGCTCGGTGGTGGATCTTGCTTGCCGGCTAGGGATCTATGATCAACCGTTGGTTTCTACGAACCTCTTTCGGGCCTTTTTGGCAACCACTCACATGGTGTTTCCCGATGGGGTTACTAGCACGGGTTGGTGGCACACTATTGGGAATAAAGTTTATATCCCGAAGTCCGCGCAGGAAGGGAGCATCCGATCCCCGACCCACCGCCTCATTCACCGCCTTATTTCCTCCACCATCAACCAGAGGAAGGACGATGACAAGGTTTCCAACCTTGATGTTTTCTACCTTTGGAGCATTATCACACCAGGCGTCTTTTGCAACATCCCGTGGTGCATTGCTTCATACCTCTCAGCGGGTGCGGTCAAAGATCGCAAAACATCGCGCATCAATGGAGGCATGTTTGTCACCCGTTTGGCTAATTCATTCGGGTTGATGAACCGTGGTGCCTGGAACCTCATGACTTTGATCCCGACACCCCCATTTAATCCCATTCTTTTCCGCAGGGCCCGAATTATTGAAGACTATGGTGGTGGCCATTATGCCATCCCAAATGATGACCCGGTTGTAGGTCCCGAAGCACCGGGAAGGAGGGTGCGATCGCGAAGGGAAAGGGATATGGAGGATGAGCCGCCAGTGATTCCGGTAGAGACTGAAGATGTACCAATGGATTGGTACAATATAGAGATGAGGCGGATGCAAGACCAAATGGCGCGGGGGCTAAATTTTAGCAATCAATCCCACATACGACTTTTTGACCACTTCAATATTCCACATATTGATGGTGGGAATTATCCATATATTCCATCGTGGGACGAGAGGATTAGTGCACGCCATAGCGGAGCGGGAGGAAGTGGAGCCAACGACGATGATGAGGAGGATGAGGATTAATCTTTTGTGTTTAAACAATTTGCATTTTTATTTTGTTTTATTTTTGGTGTGTATGCTTTAAGATATTATTTTGTTTAATAGTTGTTTGCTTTAAGTATTTTCAGGATTGCATTTTGATTGCTTAGGATGAGGTAAAGCATGGTTGTTTTTACGTGTGAGAGCGAGTCAAGGAAGCGAGTTTTTAACGTCAAAGTGTCAAGTCCGGTCTTAGGAGTGTGAGCGATTGAGTCTGCATGTGAGGAAGCGTTAATGAAGTTGTTATGGACTCAAACAGTTGCCACATACCTAGATTTTCATTCAGGTGCCAACTCGTCGAGTGCACTAAGCTGACTCGACGAGTCGCTTTGTATTTCCAGATATTTTCAGAATGCGCGCTATTACTCGGCGAGTCCATCATCAGACTCGACGAGTCGATCATTTTTGAGCCGAACGACTGCTGATTTGATGCTACTACTTATACCACTTGCATCCTTCCACTTCCATATCCATTCTTGAAGATCTTATGCCGATTTTCGCATGTTTAGAGCGACCCACACGATACATGGATGAGATTGTTCCATGTATGAAGTTTATTGAAGATGGAGCTTAAATGAGAGTGATCAACCTATCCACTGCTATCCCAGGGGAGTTTGTTCCAATTCCCTCTTTATTTTTATGTTTCTATGCATCATATGCAATGAGGGCATTGCATCACATAAGTGTGGGGTAGGGGGTTGGTTACATAATAGTCAATTTTCAAAAATTTTGCATACCAAAAGGATTATTTAGGATCTAATTTAGGAAATTTTGGTAAGAAAATAGGATTCCATGTTGGAATTGTGTTAATAATTGCATGAAAACCCAAATGTTTAGTTGAGCCTATATACGTTCTAGTGCATTTGTGGCTTCCTTATTTCAGTGAAATCATGAGACAAAAACACGACCTTGCTCAGCCTGAGGGATGCAATATGTTTAGCAGCCTAAACCTGAAATGTATCCAGGAAGATTTTTATCATTAGCCAATAAAGGTTGAAGTTGAGCGCCCCTGCTTAAGCATGTAGGGATTTGAGTGAAAAAAGTGAGGTACATGTAATAAAAAAAAAAGAGAGAATTACAAGAAAAAGTTTGAAGAATTTTGGAGCAAATGAAGTGGAAATCTGAAGATCAAAATTCCGAAGAACTTCAAAGAGTTGAAGATACCAAAAATCAAACAACAAGGTGGTGAATTCAAAGAAATTAAAGATCAAATGTCAAAGAAGTGAAGAATTCCAAAGAGTTCCAATGTGGTATCACAAATTGTAATTGTCTAGATTATGTATGCTTGGGTTGCTCAACCAAAAATACCTTGAGGTTAAAGAGGTTTTCTGAGGATGGGTTCGGAGGGTTGCATAAAATGAGCATAGTTCGGGGTGAGTGAGCGAATGTTTATGAGGATTGTGAGTATTTGGAGTATGGGGGTTATTAGGAAAATTTTAGACACAAATGCATGCGTTGCGGTCTTGGCATAATGGCTGGGTTGGATTGGAGTTATTATATGTGATTCTAATGTGTTAAAATTCAGTTTTGCTTGAGGGCAAGCAAAAGACAAGTGTGGGGTATTTTGATATGTGCATATTTAGTGTATATTAAGTGTAGTTTATTATTCATATATTAGCTAAATTGTTGCATATTATGGACAAAAGGTACTTAAAAGTGTTAAATTGTGTTTTTCAGTCCAAAGATGAAGCTCGGAAGCGAAAGGAAGCAAGAGAAGCGGTTAAGAGCTCAAGAGTGGAAAGAAGAAAGAAAACAACCAAAATAAGGCTTCTACTCGTCGAGTTATCTCTTGACTCGACGAGTCCGGTCGCGGATTCAGAAAGATAAACATTCGGAAGTCAAGACAGTTATCACGTTACGACTAATGTGAGAGCGACTCGGCGAGTCACCATATGACTCGACGAGTCGGTATGCATATATAAAGATAACTCTTTAATGCGAAAAGGGGAGAATTCTGGGAAGTTTCAGAGGTGTTAAGCTGCGAATAAGAAGCCAGAAGAACCCTAGAAGTCGACCAAAGAAGCTAGAATCCAATTCCGGGAGTAATTGAGGCGTAATTTCATCATTCTACTTAATTCTTTTGTTTTGTCAATATGATTAAGCAACTTGAACTTATTTGTTTGCTGTTATTCACCTTAGTTATGAACTAATTTCTTTATACTTCTGTTTGGGGATACAAGTTGACAATATGGTTTGATTGATTGGTAGGATTAATTCTAAGTTGGTGATTAATTGTTATTTTAGCTTGCTAAAGAACCTTGTGTATGAATGATAATTTATTTTCTGTTAATAGGAAGATAGTTAATTAACATGAACATCTATTAATTATCAACCTCATATGATAAGTGACCACTATATCATATGTCTAGGATTAATGAATATGAAACTAGGATTAATAAGGAAATTGAGTAAATTCATGTGCAAGCTTGTAAGATGACTATCGAACAAGAGGTTAATTAAGAATAACAAATTAATTAGCTATTGCAAGTCTAACTTAACCCGAATAATTAATCTAGTAAATATAATTAAGTTAAGCAATTGGCCACTGTTTGAATTAGTTTATTTGTTAAGGATTAGGGTAGTGAACACAACTTAATCACTTGAATCGGTAACCAACGAAAGAATTAATCCATTGCACTATTACCTTAAAAGTAACCATAAAGTTAACCGAGTTGAACTAAACAGAAGTTTCTTTCCCATTATTGAATCTAGTCAATTTGTTCTTTTCTAGCCTTGCATTAGTTTTGTTTAGTAAGTTTCTAGTCTTGTAAAACTAGAGAAAAACCCTTATTTGCTAAAGTAATTTAGATAGAATTAGTTTTTAATTTAATTTGCCGTTCCCTGTGTTCGATACCCTGCTTATTTAGCTATACCACAATTGATAGGTTCACTGCCTTTTGTGTGTTATTTGATAATTAAAGTAGGATTTAAACTAAGTGAGTTTTACACACATCATTACCTGCAATTTTGCTTTCTCAAGCACAACTTTTCTTAATTCAAATTTGTATTTTAACATGACAATAAAACTCAAGGAATAATCAACTGAAAAAATCATAATCATACTTACTGCATAAGAAACACAAATTTTCATTTGAATCCAACCCTTGACCTCCCCTCCGTCTTCTTCTTCCATGTTTGTACAGTGCTACTGCAACAAAAAATCAAAACTATATTAAAAAAATTAATTGCAAGTTAAATATTGAAGAAAAAAAGCTCAGTTCCAATTAGTTTTCTTGGCAGCTGAAACTTGAAAGGGCATAATGGTAATTTTCTACCCTAATTAGAAGTGATTGTAAAAAACAAAACTCTCGATGCTAGTTAGTTTGAAACTTGCAAGGGCAAAATGGTAGTCTTTTTTCCTGCCTACTAAGAAACATATTTACAATTTAAGCCTAGCCTAGCCCTTTTCATAAAGATGATAAGAAATGACACATAACCTTTTTTTATGCAGCTTTCATGGCCTAGAGTCCATATGGGAGGAGTGTCTAAAAATGATCAGTCAGGTGGACAAAAGGGCCCTGAGGTTGCTTCGTCCGGTTGGGGTCCTCTGTAATCATAAAAATAAAAGTAAATAGTATTAACTGCAGGGAACAACAAGAAACATACTTTATTCTCACTACCAAGTACCATTATTGTCAATGTATTTGTAAGATGACTCACTTTAGATATAAACTACTCAACGATTTATTTTCAAGAAGTGCTTCAACAAGACCTGAGAATCCCTGCAAACAATGCCAATTAAAAAGTAAGAAATATGTTATTAGTTTTTTTAGAAAATAAGATGAAAAAGAAAAAAATTATAGAATAATAAATCAAATTGTTATTGAGTTCAATTGTCCTCAAGGTTGAGTTCTTCTTTAGCAACTCAACAATGGCCTTTGCTCCCTGCAACATGGAAATATATCAGAGTCTTTCACACAACAATTAACATATTGAAATTAAAAAAAATAATAACAATAAATAAATAAAAAGCTAACCTCATCACCTATATTAGTACTATTTAGCTGGAGCTTCTGAATACCACTATTATCCACCAGTATATCACATAAAACCTGCATATAAAAGCACATATATTATTCGGTAATTATAAACATCCAGAACCTGAAATATTAAACAACTAATGGTACAAATTAAAATCCAAGAATTAGTTCACCTTAGCTCCTTCATCCCCAATATTGTTTCCTGATAAGTTAAGAACCTTTAGAGAAATGTTTGATCGTAAAATACCATCAAAAGCTTTAATTCCTTCAGCAGTTATTCCATTATCAGCAAAGTTTATTTCTTCAGCAACCTGGAAAAGGAAAAAGCAATGGTGCATTAAGAATACAGAGCCAAATCGATAAAAATTCATGACTTAATCGGGAAAGCCTCATTTACTTGATTTTCTATTTAGATAATTCAATATGGATTAAGTGAAAAAGAAACAACCATATATAGCCTATCTAACTAAGTCTTGTCCCCTTAGTCCATTGAGTGAAAAAGTACATCACCTAGTCAAATGTCAAATGTCAATGGCAATAATATTGTACAGGGAACATATGTAAATTTAACTTTGAAAATTGCCTATAAAACCAAATACTGCAATTAATATGGGGCTTACATGTGTCTATAGTCTACAATTCACATGCAACTAGTTGTTGAAACATAAGTCCCTACAAACAACCATACATATATTTTGATTCAATATGACAGGTGTTGGATGCTGATTTACTTCCATAGTTTACCCAAAGATCATATAATTCTTGATTACAACTCACAAGTCGCAACACTTTCACAAGCTACACATGTGCTAATGAATTCCGCTCTTAATAAAAGATCTTTGTATAAGAAGCTATGAGATGAATTATGCAGGATAAAAGTAAACATAATCATTGAAATAGTTAAACCTGGTTATAAGCTAAGCTCTCTGCAAGGAAGGATAATCCTTCATCTCCAAAGTTGCGACCTGCAAAAGATACATGATTTGAATAGTGGTGCTTTACAAGTAGTGTATAAGAAAATGTATGGAAAATAGCTTCATTTGTTGCATCTTATACGGTGTTATTTTGTTAGTACCTGATATGTCAACAATGCTGAATGACCTAAGTTCTTTGGAGAAATCATTGAGTCGAAGTTTGGATTCCCTTTCGATCTTTGCACCAAAATTTGGTAATAAGTTTGTCCCAGCAGCAAAGGACCATTTTACTCCTTCAGTCGGTTTTTTCTCTTGTACAAGAGCTTTTGATTTCTTAGGCATCATCAGTTTCTCCACCAATTTTTACATAACTGTCAGCTGATTTAGGAAATAAAAACAAAAACAGATGGAGAAGAAGAGAACAGTCTTCATACCTGATTTAGGAAATAAAAGAATCTTTAAAAATTGAATGTAAGAGAAAGAAATCTAGGGCACATACATGAAGAAGATAACAAACTTCGAACATGATGCCTCCTCCGTTATTGTTTTTTGGATTCTGATGCTTCCTTTCGTACCTTGAACCTCTGACTTTTGATCCCAAATCTGACTTGCAACCTTCGATTTCTGATGGTTCTAGGGTTTTTATACAAATGGTGGTGTTATTAACCAAGGATGTTGGTGCGAAAGAGGGGTGGTGATCTTGCGGTTTGTTGTGTCGGTGGTATATTGGGGCTTTATTGGAGACAGTGGTGAACCAAAGAGAAGACGAAGGGTGGTGGCTGGTTGTCGAGCAGTAGGGGTAGAGAGAGAGTAAATAAGGAGAAGTTAAGCTTAAAATAAAATAAAACCCTAGCACGTCCTAGATAGAAGGAAGATGGCGATGGCTTATGGTTTGCACGGAGAATAGAGGGAGAGAATGGAAGGAGATCAAGAGGATAGAGTGGAGAAGTGGGCACTTAAATTTTTTAGAATTTTAGAGATTTTTCATTTCCCCCCCTTAAAAACACGCGTTTAATTAAAAATTTATAAAGAGACATTTCTAGATGATACACATTTAACATAAGTGCCCTCCGTGTTTGTAATTTTTTTTGTTAGACATTAATTTTAGGGCACGCACAAATGCGTGCCTTCTATCCTTCAAATTTTGCAAATCTGACATTATTTTTTAAGGCACGCATGAATGCGCGTCCTCTATCAGCGCGTGTCATTGTTTGCGCGTCATTAAAGGGCTGTTTTCTAGTAGTGCACCAATCTAGAATACTAAACATTTATGAGTCGTCTTCAACACTTTCTTGAGAATACTTTTGTAACTCCCCAATTGATTCAACTATGTTCGTCTTCATCTTTTCTCTTAGTTTATTTCTCAATGGGGGATTAGGTGCCATAAAATCCAGGTTTTGGCATTTCCCTAGTATCGATGATGAAGTGGTAAACTCGGTAGTACTTGAAGTAGAATAAAAAATAACATCATCCAAGAGCTTATGAATGGAATATATATCTTCAATGCATGTATTTGATATCACATAAAGTCTCCCGAAAATCCTCAAAGTAACATCATGAAAAGGTTTTAAAAAATGACATACATTCCTAATCCTTTCCCAATCGCTTGATGAAGGTATCGACAAACCCACCTTTTCAATTTCGTATCGAAAATCAAATTCCTCAAGATCATATCTCTCAATTTTTTTCGTAAGCTTGGGCAATTTCCAACATATGGTAAGTAGAGCTCCATCTTGTTGGCACATCTCTCTTCAAGTGTTTTGTTATACCGGGATTAACAACCTTAGCAAACTCGATAAACTTATGAATTATAGAAGGTGATTGCCTAATTTATTTAACCGCCCATCGAACTATCTCAATCGCATTATCATTTTTTTTGTGCCATCTTGTACCACTAAATTTAAAATGTGGGCAACACATCGAATGTTCATCCATTTCCCATTAAAAAGACACTTGTTGGAGTTTTGAAAGCTTTTTTTTCAAGAAGTCAATTGCCACATCGTTCACACTTGCATTGTCAATAGAAATTGTGAACATTTTCAATTTCCCACTCCATTAAACATTTCTCAACCATTTTCCCAATATCAACCCCACGGTGACTCTCTTGAGAAGAAAAACACAACACTTTTTTTTCTTTCCAGTTTCCGTTCGTTATCAATTTAGTGGGCGGTGAGACACATATAACATGATTGTTGTTTAGAAGTCCACCTATCGGTGGTCAAACATATTCTACCAACATTTTTTTTTAATAAAGTCATATATTTTTTCTTTTTTGTCTACAAACAATTGGTAGACATCCGTTGTGCTTGTACTTCTACATGGAACTTTAAACAATGGTTGAGTAAAACTGTAGACCCAACTGTCATTGCATAACTAGAAAGCAAAGGACTCTACGTAGAGAGTCTATGGAACTGTGTGTGGGTCACATCAAGAACTCCCTATTTGACCAGCTCTATTATCTTTACGCATCGGTCAAAGATCCAAGAGACCTATGGAATGCATTGGAACTTAAGTACAAGGAATATGAGGAAGTTACTAACAAATGCATTGTTTCTAAGTACCTAGAGTTTCAAATGGCTGATGACGAATCAATCATGGGGCAAGTGCATGAACTCCACGTGATAGTCAACAAGTTGAAGAAACTCTCCATCTCTATTCTAGAACTCTTTCAGGTTGGTGCGATCATCACAAAACTATCGCCCTTGTGGTAAAGTCAGATGGATGAAACACATCCGCATTGAGGAGGAAACTCGCATCAGGAACACGCTTGGTAAAGTCAGATCGAGTGTGCATCACGTATCAGCTGGGGGTTCTAGTCACATATGCAAGTCTAGGGGACAAAACAAGAAGAACTTGGGACCCAAGAAACGGAGCATAAAGAAATCGGGTCATCAGAATCCTAACTTCAAGCCAAAGAGGATCAGACCTTCCCACGTCTGCGGAGAGATTGGGCACTATGCGAGAGAATGCAAAGATACCAAATCAGGACCGGTTGCACATGCAATCAAGAAGGTTACTGACATGGTGGAAAGTGTGAGCCTTGGAGAGATTTTCATGATCTCCTCCCTTACCCAAGATTTATGTGCCCGCGGATGGTTCATGGACACTGATACCACTTTGTATGTTTACGGGCCACGAGAGACCTTCCGCACTTACCGACCAATGTCACATGGGACGGTCGTCGTATGTATTGATCACAGAGCTGAAGTTCTAGGAAGAGGTGATGTTCGTTTGAAGTTCATACATGGTGAATAGGTAACCGTTTGAGATGTTCTTCATATTCCTACTATCTAGAAGGGGTTGTTTTTGCAGACAAGTTTGACAAGGGTGGGTTCAAGATGGTGCTTGAGAAATGCAAGATTGTGATCACTAAAGGCAGAAGATATGTTGAGAGGGCAAACAATTGTTCGGAAATGTATTGTTTATGCCTTAGAGACGAGGGTAGTGTGAGTGGTCCTAGTGTTGAGAGTAGTGGTGCTAGTGTTGAAAGGGTGTTTAATGTTGCTAGTTATGATGTAAGTGGTGGATTGGTTTTTAATGTGAATGAGGTGAACTTTTCTGGTTATTTTGTTTGTTCAATTTCTTTATGGTATAAACGTTTAGCACACACTAATATTAAAAACATTGACAAAATGCAAACTAAAGAAATGTTAAAATATGACACAAATGATTTTGAAAAATGTGAAACATATGTGAAATCAAAGTTAACTAAGAAACCATTTCCATCACTTAAGTGGAACACATCATTGTTTGAGTTGATTAATTCTTATATATGTGAATTAAATGGAATTCTTACTCGAGGAGGAAGAAGGTGTTTCATCATATTCTATGATGACTCCAGTCGATATTTACATGTTTATCTGCTGAGATCAAAATTCGAAGCTTTTGATGCACTTAAATTGTATAAAGCTAAAGTCAAAAATCAACTTAATAGACACATTCTGTGAAGAGAATGGAACCAAATATTAGAGAACTTCACCATACACTCCCCAACAGAATGGTTTGGCAAAAAGAAAGGACCGAACCATTTTCTGAGATGGTCAACTGTATGTTGAACCAATCAGGTCAACTATATAATTTGTAAGGGGAAGCATTATTGATTGCTTGCTATGTTCATAATATGATCACTAGTCGTGTGATTCCTACAAGCCCTTATGAGTTATGGAAAAGTAGAAAGTCTAACATAGACTATTTGAAATTATGGGGGTGTGTTGCTTATTATTAGACTCCCGATCCTAAGCAAACCAAATTAGGAGCACGAGCTAATAAGATTATATTTATTGAATATGCTCACAATAGAAAGGATTACCAATTATTAGATATTGAATAAGTTGTTGTTATGGAATCCAGAGATGCGAAATTCTTTGAGGACAAGTTTTCTAGGGATGAAGAAAACTCCAGTCATACAACACCTACAAGTGTTTCTCAAGAAATACTCCCACGCCTCCTATTGTGCAGGAACCAAGGAGAAGTACTAGGGAAAGAATAGAGAAAATCTTTGGAGATGATTTCTATTCTTATTTTCTCGAAGGAACTCAAAAGAAAGTGAAAAGAGAGGTCATGTTTTCCATTAACTTGGATGATGATCCTAAGACCTTTACTAAAGCCATGACGTCTCGATACGCTCCTTCGTGGACAGAAGCCATCAATGACAAAATGGATTCAATTATAGGTAACAGAACATGTGATTTAGCTGATCTACCCAAGGGGAGAAGACCCATAGGATCCAAATGGATATTCAATAAAAAAATATCATCCAAATGGATGCATATCCGCCTATAATGCAATATTGGCTGCTAAGGGCTATACGCAGTGAAAATGGATCGATTATTTTGATACTATACCCCAGTTGCTAGGATTAGTTCTATTTGAACTCTCATAGCAATATCAACTTTGAAAGAAATGTACATTCACCAAATGGATGTGAAGACAACCTTGCTGAATGGTTACCTCAAGGAGGAGATTTACTTGGAGCAACCTGAATGATTCATGATACCTGGAAAAGAAAACAAAGTTTGTAGACTTGTTAAATCCTTGTACGGGTTGAAGAAAGCTCCTAAACAGTGGCATGAGAGATTTTACACCACAGTTACTGCTTTTGGTATTTAGCACAATAGTGCTGACATGTATATTTATTCCAAATATACTTAATTACATAGTAGTTATACATATTTATGTTAATGATATGTTGATCCTTGACACTCACCTAGAAGGTACTCTTGAGACGAAGAAATACATATCCTCGAACTTTAAGATGAAAGATCTTAGAGAAGTTGATAAAATTCTTGGTATCAAGGTGAAAAGAACAGGTGATTAGATTTCTCTGAGTCAATCTCATTATA